ATGTCCATCCTTCCCGTCAGGATCCCAAGTGGTTTCCCAACTAACCATCGTCATACCCGGGGAGTGAATCCTTCTGCTTGTTGCTTGTAACACTTCCTATATATCTTCCTTCTAATAGCCTTCTTCTTATTATTTAGTGTCTTCCTTTAGCGTGCCCTTAGTGTTTTTAGTGTCCCTATATATTTTCCCGTAGAAGACCTTTTAGCTACCTCCCTTCTCCTTAGGGGCTCCCTAGTCCTGTCTTTAGATGTTCCTATATTCTTCCTCTTAAAGGCCTTTCAGTTACCTCTCTTCTTCCTAGGAATGTCCTAGTCCTAACCTTTAATATTCCTATGTTCTTCCTCTTTCTACTTCTAAATACCCTTTAGTCCTTCCTCTTCTACTCCCTTAATTCTAATCCTAGTCTCCCTCTTCTTATTTTCTCCCTTGTTAGTTCTTTAAGGATAATAACTTTTATATTATTATCTTTACTTTAGTTCTAACTCTCCTTTAGGCGAGGGGCAGGCCTCGCGTATCCTCTATAATATTTTCCCTCCTATATTCTACTTACTTAGGTCTTTATTTGTGAAGCACCTAGCATTATCTCCCTTTTACTTCTAATTCTGTTCTTCTTCGCCACTATATGCGCGGTAGTGGCCAGTGCGTTATTTTACTACTAATACCTGCTTAGTAAACGGTCTCACTACCTTAAAATATAAACAACAAAACTTTGCGCGTCCTCTTCTCTATTATTTCTCCTCTATTACCTCTCGCCTATACTCTAGCTGTATTCTCTAAACTACTTTTACTTTCTAGTTGCCATTACTATCTCCGCTGTTATTTACTCTTTTACTCTCGCCTTACCTTACTGCCGCTTTACTATAGCTGCTAAACGCCTATTAGGTAATGCTGCTGCTCTACCTATTAGCGTTACTACTAAAAATTTAGCATCTAATGTGGTCCAATCTCTTATATAGTAGCTTACTCTATATCCTACTTCTACACCTACTTATAAAGCTACTAGCGATGTAGTTAACTCTTAACTAGACGAAGCTAGGCTTTTACGCTATCCTACTATTTCCCTAATAAGCCTTCTACTAGCTTTTCTAAGCTCTTCTAGTCTATTAACTAATAGGTCTTTAACCCCTAAAGGTCCTTCTACGCCTAGTAAAAAGAAGGTTATACCTAGCTATTATAGTAATATAGTTAGTCCGCTATATAAGTATCTTAAGCTAAAGGTTACGCAGCCTTATATTGTAGCCTATTATAAGTATCTCTCTTTGTTTTTCCTAGTCTAAACATCCTTCTAATATTCTTATTATATAGTGAATAAGCGCGCTAATAAATTAATTACTATAGAGTTCGTGCCTACACTTTAGAAGCTCCTTTATAGGCTTACTTCTTAGGGCTATTCTCTCAGCCTAAATATTATTATATACGTTACTAGCCCTAAATAGCAATTAGAGCTTAACGACTGGGCTGTCTAGGATAATTGCGAGCTTAATCTTATAGAGGATACTACTATTAGAGCTTTCTTTAGTTTAAATACTTAGCGCAGATTGTTTAAGCCTAATATTCTTACTCTTATTTATTATTATTTAAACGGCGCTCGTATATATTCTCTAGAGTATTCTAAGTCTAGCTTAACTATAGAAAAGGCTAACATATTTTATAGTTAATACGCAACTAATAAGCACTTAAAACTATTCTAGTCTTATCGCTTAGTTATTATAGATAGGTATTAGATGCTAGATAGGGCCTGCACTAATTACTACTACAGTAGTAATTCCCTATACTATTCTATGCGTTGTAAGTTTCTAAATGCTATTTAGACTCTTATCCTTTATATTATTAAATGCCCTATTAATTTTTGTTATTATAGATACACATACTACTAACGCTAACAGCGACTTAGAGTTTAAGGATAAGGCTAAAGAAATGCTAGATCTCAATCCTATAAATATTATAGGTGCCGAGACCAACCTAGTACGCACTCAATCGTTGTTTAGATACTATACTTTAGTGCCGCCTAAGGAATATACGTTTAATACTATTGTTTAGTGTCCTATTAGTTCGCTCGATCTACCTACAAAGTATAATAATAAAGAGGATAAGGATTTTAGGCCTAGGCGTAAGCTCTAGCCTATTAATTTACTAAAGTGGCCTGAAGAGGGTATACCTTCTAAGGTTGAGATTGCTAATTTAGTCCGCTTGAGGAAGCTTTAGAAGGCTATGGTTAAGAAGATTAAGTCTGCTTAGGCGGAAGAGGTTCGCTCTGCTAGTAGGGCTAGTTGGTCTGCTGCTAGTAAGAAAGCTGCTTAGACTTATCAGGAGAGGAAGGCTGCTTGCCGCGCTGCTGCTGCGCAGGCTTCTTATGGATCTGGTGATGGTTTGGCTAATAATAGTAGTTCTTCTGCCTCTAATGCTGCTGCTGATGGCCCTTCGAATAGTAGCAATGCTGTATAATAGTTGCGGGTATGTTCCTGTATGTAACTCTAATACTAGCCGATGGCTGCTTGGTTGGGGGTTTGTTTGTTTTTATTTTTCTAGTGTTTTTGTAAGGGGTATATAGTTTTCGGCTGGGATGTTCTTTTGTTTTGGCTGCAATGTAGCAGTCTTGCTGGCTCGATGGCTATTCAGCAGCATTTACCTTGTTAGATTATTACTATCGTTTTGTCTGGGTTAATTATAAAATTCAAATTTTTGACTGAACCGTTTCTTTTAAAAAATTCTTTTTGCCTTGTTAGATATAGGAATAGTATTTAGGCAGCTTAAAATCCTTTCTCCTTGTAGGTATTACTGTTACTGCTCTCCTTACTTTCTGCATTTGGTGTTTTGCACTTGTTTTGTTGGGCTGTTGCGCATTTCCGATAGTCGTTCAGACCCTTTGTCGGGGATGTCCTGCGTATAGCTTCCTTCATTCCCCACTATGGGGCCTATATTGGTGCCTTGTGGCTTCTCTACCGAATGCTGTTTAGACTGGGCGTCTCTCGCATCTCCTCCTCGTAGTTCCTTAGGCTTCCTTTGGTAGAATTTCTGTAGTCTATTGCCTGCTACATAGTTTCTGAATGGGGTTCTATTAAGCTCTTGTAAGGTGTACGTACTACCATCCTTTTTCGTGCGCTATTACTAGCTAAAACGGACCGTTCTATTTTGGTTGAATCTAGTGAGCGTAGATTAATCCACATCTCCGAACGAGTCTTGAACGAGTACTAGGTCTCCTAGCCTCAATGCCTAGTCTTGGATAAATTTTGTGTTGTTAAAGTATTCTTTGTTTCCGTGCCGTAGTTGGACTGTTCGTGCGATAGCTTCTTGGAAATGCTCGTCCCTCCTTTGGAACTGGCGCGCACGCATACTACACTACTCTTGTCTGAATACTATTCAGGCATTTTACTAGTATACCT